ATTATATATTATTATTATTATTATTATTATTATTATTATTATTATTATTATTATTATTATTATTATTATTATTATTATTATTATTATTATTATTATTATTATTATTATTATTATTATTATTATTATTATTATTATTATTATTATTATTATTATTATTATTATTATTATTATTATTATTATTATTATTATTATTATTATTATTATTATTATTATTATTATTATTATTATTATTATTATTATTATTATTATTATTATTATTATTATTATTATTATTATTATTATTATTATTATTATTATTATTATTATTATTATTATTATTATTATTATTATTATTATTATTATTATTATTATTATTATTATTATTATTATTATTATTATTATTATTATTATTATTATTATTATTATTATTATTATTATTATTATTATTATTATTATTATTATTATTATTATTATTATTATTATTATTATTATTATTATTATTATTATTATTATTATTATTATTATTATTATTATTATTATTATTATTATTATTATTATTATTATTATTATTATTATTATTATTATTATTATTATTATTATTATTATTATTATTATTATTATTATTATTATTATTATTATTATTATTATTATTATTATTATTATTATTATTATTATTATTATTATTATTATTATTATTATTATTATTATTATTATTATTATTATTATTATTATTATTATTATTATTATTATTATTATTATTATTATTATTATTATTATTATTATTATTATTATTATTATTATTATTATTATTATTATTATTATTATTATTATTATTATTATTATTATTATTATTATTATTATTATTATTATTATTATTATTATTATTATTATTATTATTATTATTATTATTATTATTATTATTATTATTATTATTATTATTATTATTATTATTATTATTATTATTATTATTATTATTATTATTATTATTATTATTATTATTATTATTATTATTATTATTATTATTATTATTATTATTATTATTATTATTATTATTATTATTATTATTATTATTATTATTATTATTATTATTATTATTATTATTATTATTATTATTATTATTATTATTATTATTATTATTATTATTATTATTATTATTATTATTATTATTATTAATTATTATTATTATTATTATTATTATTATTATTATTATTATTATTATTATTATTATTATTATTATTATTATTATTATTATTATTATTATTATATTATTATTATTATTATTATTATTATTATTATTATTATTATTATTATTATTATTATTATTATTATTATTATTATTATTATTATTATTATTATTATTATTATTATTATTATTATTATTATTATTATTATTATTATTATTATTATTATTATTATTATTATTATTATTATTATTATTATTATTATTATTATTATTATTATTATTATTATTATTATTATTATTATTATTATTATTATTATTATTATTATTATTATTATTATTATTATTATTATTATTATTATTATTATTATTATTATTATTATTATTATTATTATTATTATTATTATTATTATTATTATTATTATTATTATTATTATTATTATTATTATTATTATTATTATTATTATTATTATTATTATTATTATTATTATTATTATTATTATTATTATTATTATTATTATTATTATTATTATTATTATTATTATTATTATTATTATTATTATTATTATTATTATTATTATTATTATTATTATTATTATTATTATTATTATTATTATTATTATTATTATTATTATTATTATTATTATTAATTATTATTATTATTATTATTATTATTATTATTATTATTATTATTATTGTTATTATTATTATTATTATTATTATTATTATTATTATTATTATTATTATTATTATTATTATTATTATTATTATTATTATTATTATTATTATTATTATTATTATTATTATTATTATTATTATTATTTATTATTATTATTATTATTATTATTATTATTATTATTATTATTATTATTATTATTATTATTATTATTATTATTATTATTATTATTATTATTATTATTATTATTATTATTATTATTATTATTATTATTATTATTATTATTATTATATTATTATTATTATTATTATTATTATTATTATTATTATTATTATTATTATTATTATTATTATTATTATTATTATTATTATTATTATTATTATTATTATTATTGTTATTATTATTATTATTATTATTATTATTATTATTATTATTATTATTATTATTATTATTATTATTATTATTATTATTATTATTATTATTATTATTATTATTATTATTATTATTATTATTATTATTATTATTATTATTATTATTATTATTATTATTATTATTATTATTATTGTTATTACTTATTATTATTATTATTACTATTATTATTATTATTATTATTATTATTATTATTATTATTATTGTTATTATTATTATTGTTATTATTATTATTATTATTATTATTATTATTATTATTATTATTATTATTATTATTATTATTATTATTATTATTATTATTATTGTTATTACTATTATTATTATTATTACTATTATTATTATTATTATTATTATTATTATTATTATTATTATTATTATTGTTATTATTATTATTGTTATTATTATTATTATTATTATTATTATTATTATTATTATTATTATTATTATTATTATTATTATTGTTATTATTATTATTATTATTATTATTATTATTATTATTATTGTTATTATTATTATTATTATTATTATTGTTATTATTATTATTATTATTATTATTATTATTATTATTATTGTTATTATTATTATTATTATTATTATTATTATTATTATTATTATTATTATTATTATTATTATTATTATTATTATTATTATTATTATTATTATTATTATTATTATTATTATTATTATTATTATTATTATTGTTATTATTATTATTATTATTATTACTATTATTATTATTATTATTATTATTATTATTATTATTATTATTATTGTTATTATTATTATTGTTATTATTATTATTATTATTGTTATTATTATTATTATTATTATTATTATTATTATTATTATTATTATTATTATTATTATTATTATTATTATTATTATTATTATTATTATTATTATTATTATTATTATTGTTATTATTATTATTATTATTATTATTATTATTATTATTATTATTATTATTATTATTATTGTTATTATTATTATTATTATTATTATTATTATTATTATTATTATTATTATTATTATTATTATTATTATTATTATTATTATTATTATTATTATTATTACTATTATTATTATTATTATTATTATTATTATTATTATTATTGTTATTATTATTATTATTATTATTATTATTATTATTATTATTATTATTATTATTATTATTATTGTTATTATTATTATTATTATTATTATTATTATTATTATTATTATTATTATTATTATTATTATTATTATTATTATTATTATTATTATTATTATTATTATTATTATTATTATTATTATTATTATTATTATTATTATTATTATTATTATTATTGTTATTATTATTATTATTATTATTACTATTATTATTATTATTATTATTATTATTATTATTATTATTGTTATTATTATTATTGTTATTATTATTATTATTATTGTTATTATTATTATTATATTATTATTATTATTATTATTGTTATTATTATTATTATTATTATTATTGTTATTATTATTATTATTATTATTATTATTATTATTATTATTATTTTATTATTATTATTATTATTATTATTATTATTATTATTATTATTATTATTATTATTATTATTATTATTATTGTTATTATTATTATTATTATTATTATTGTTATTATTATTATTATTATTATTATTATTATTAAAACAATGAACATATAAATTTTTTGGAAAGATGAGGGCTCGAAAACTGATCTGCGGCTTCTTCTACAGCTCCTGTTTGTCCTCTGGTTGAAGACTACTAAGGGGCCTCCTTTCTTGCTTAATATGTTGCAATAAATTCAGTACTAAATTTACTTACTTGCTGCGCGGTATACGGAGGGGGGTTCTTCTAGTGCCTTTCCTTTTATTTCCTCTGAGTTTTATTTGTTCTATAGTTTGCTATGATAAACTAAAATTTTTCAAAAGTTTGTTTTATTTTATGGCACTTCAAATATTTTTTGTTTTAAATTTCTGTTTGTCTTTTATGATAAGCTAAAATTTTTCAAAAGTTTGTTTTTAGCAATTTTCCAAACATTTTTTTGAAAAAAGTGCTTATTAGTTTCACTCTGTCCGTCCGTCCGTCCGTCCGTCCGTCCGTCCGTCCGTCCGTCCGTCCGTCCGTCCGTCCTTCCGTCCGTCTGTCCGTCCGTCCGTCCGTCCGTGGACACTTTTTTTGTTTACAAAACTTCTACAGCCTTTAAGATAGAAAGCTGAAATTTCATACGTACATAGATCTTCACTAGAAACTTATTTCCGTAGAACAAAATTTTTACCTATCTCCCCCCCTCTAGAAGTTATAACCCCTCAAAACCCTAAAAATGGCCTTTTTTAAATATTTGTTGTGCAATGAAACCAAATGCATTTTTGAAATTTTGCAAACGCAGAAAGGCAGTAGCTTGCTTCCCCTAGCGCGATATACTGTAGTTAAACTTTAGAAAAACAAAATGTCCGTTCAAATTTACCGTTATCTAAAGTCCTTTTTTTCCAAATTTTTGATGTCATTTTTCTTCTAGACCCCAGCCTGTAGAAGCTTGAAATTTTAGGAGCTTTTAGACATTAACAAATAGTTCATTTCGTTAGAAGAAAATTTTTTTCCATCTCCACCCCCTCTTAAGTTTTTACCTCTTGAAATTCGTAAAATTTGAATTTTTGACTCCTTATATTTCCGAAACTGCAAGCTTTTCCAAATTTTTATAAACGCAAAAAGCTAACGGTAAATTCCATGAAATTAAAAAATATAATTATTTTTCTTAACTCACACAATTAACCCTTAAAATCGAGCATTATGTTAACCCCATTTTATATTAATTTTTGCTTTATTTCAAACACTGCATATATGCGTCATCCTAAATATATGCAATTCTAGAAATAGTTTTGTATATGAATGAAAATAATTTTAATAGTTTGATAGGTATACATAGACTGTATATAAAAGCAGAATTTTCAGTTGTTGAAGGAAAAGTGCTACAATACAAACCATTGGTTTGACCCAACTTTATTTTTTTTAAAGCACTTCAAATGTTTTTTGTATTTTAATATTTTTCTTTTCTATTTTATTTCGTCTATTTTCACTATTCACCCCGGCATTCCTATACCTTGGGACGTTTACTAATTTAAGCTAAGTTACCTGGGGCTTCTTTATTAAAAAAATAAAAAGAACTCGCACAAAAACCTTTTCACCTATCTTTTATAAAAATGAAAACGCACAAAATTTGTTTTACTTATTTTTTATTTCGTCCGATCTGTTTTAATGATTAAGAACAATTGAACAATTATTTTTATTATTTTTGTATTTGCTCTAACTGTGCAACGTGATATTGTGTTGCATGGGAATTCGTTTCAAAATATTTCCCAATAAAATTGCTGACTCGGCGGCATGTGTTAAATTTTTATTTTAGGTTGCTAACTTATATATATAGCAACTTCTCAGGTATCAAAAAGTAAGGGAACTTTTAGATGGGCTAGAAACATGGGACAAAAGGTATTAGATAGGGTTTTGCCTACTGGGTCGCAGAAAGATCTGACATTGGAATATTTGTATAACAAAAGCACCTTTTTAGCCCTTTCCCAAAAATTTTTTTGAAAAAAGTGCTTATTATTTTTACTCTGTCCGTCCGTCCGTCCGTCCGTGGACACTTTTTTTGTTTACAAAACTTCTACACCCTTTAAGATAGAAAGCTGAAATTTCATACGTACATAGACCTTTACTAGAAACTTATTTCCGTAGAACAAAATTTTTACCTATCTCCCCCGCTCTAGAAGTTATACCCCCCCAAAACCCCAAAAATGGCCTTTTTTAAATATTTGTTGCAATGAAACCATAACCATTTTTGAAATTTTGCAAACGTAGAAAGGCAGTGGCTTGCTTCCCCTAGCGCGATATGCTATAGTTAACTTTAGAAAAATAAAAGGGCCGTTTAAATTTACCGTTATCTAAAGTCGTTTTTTTCCAAATTTTTGATGTCATTTTTCTTCTAGACCCCAGCCTGTAGAAGCTTTAAATTTTAGGAGCTTTTAGACATTAACAAATAGTTTATTTCGTTAGAAGAAAATTTTTTTCCATCTCCACCCCCTCTCAAGTTATCACCTCTTGAAATTCGTAAAATTTGAATTTTTGACATCTTATATTTCCGAAACCGCAAGCTTTTCCAAATTTTTATAAACGCAAAAAGCTAACGGTAAATTTCATGAAATTAAAAAATATAATTATTTTTCTTAACTCACACAATTAACCCTTAAAATCGAGCATTATGTTAACCCCTTTTTATATTAATATTTGCTTTATTTCAAAGACTGCATATATGCGTCATCCTAAATATATGCAATTCTAGAAATAGTTTTGTATATGAATGAAAATAATTTTAATAGTTTGATAGGTATACATAGACTGTATTTAAAAGCAGAATTTTCCCTTGTTGAAGGGAAAAGTGCTACAATACAAACCATTGGTTTGACCCAACTTTATTCTTTTATACTTTATATTACTAGAAACGCAAACCAACAAATAAAATAATACCTTTTTTTTATTATTAGAAACACAAACCTAGAACGAGAAATAAATAATATTCGAAAATATAATGATCTCACATATATTTTAAGTTCGAAAAATCGAAATAAACTTAAATAAATGTCAGGTTTTATAAAAGACATCCGATGTTTTGTGGTAACTGAATATTAATGCTTCATTTGTTATAGTTTTGAATATTATCGTATTAAAACAATGAACATATAAATTTCTTGGAAAGATCAGGGCTCGAAAACTGATTTGCGGGCCGATTTTACATTTTTCACCATTTTGAAGAAAATATTCAACCGATTTACTTGAAATTTCATATATAACCTTTGCTCGACCGTCCGCGAAAATTCCTATGTTTTGGAAGAAATCAGGCATCAGCAAATGGATGTTTACTACGGGAAAAATATACATTTTTGTGTATATAAAGAGAAATAATCAACCGATTTCATTGAAATTTAATATATGAGTTCCTCGTATTAAAACAATGAACATATAAGTTTCTTGGAAAGATCAGGGCTCGAAAACTGATTTGCGGGCCGATTTTACATTTTTCACCATTTTGAAGAAAATATTCAACCGATTTACTTGAAATTTCATATATAGCCTTTGCTCGACCGTCCGCAAAAATTCCTATGTTTTGGAAGAAATCAGGCATCAGCAAATGGACGTTTACTACGGGAAAAATATACATTTTTGTGTATATAAAGAGAAATAATCATCCGATTTCATTGAAATTTAATATATGAGTTCCTCGTATTAAAACAATGAATATATAAATTTCTTGGAAAGATCAGGGCTCGAAAACTGATTTGCAGGCCGATTTTACATTTTTCACCATTTTGAAGAAAATATTCAACCGATTTACTTGAAATTTCATATATAACCTTTGCTCGACCGTCCGCGAAAATTCCTATGTTTTGGAAGAAATCAGGCATCAGCAAATGGACGTTTACTACGGGAAAAATATACATTTTTGTGTATATAAAGAGAAATTATCAACCAATTTCATTGAAATTTAATATTTGAATTCCTCGTATTAAAACAATGTACATGCAAGTTTTTTGGAAAGATCAGGACTCGAAAATTGATCTGCGGGCCGATTTTACTTTTTTCAACATATCTACGGAACGAATTTATGGAATTTCGGGAAATATGTTATTTGAGTTCTGGTGGTTACCGAAAATAATAGGGGAGCATTTCATGGAATTCGGGCAGCACAAAGCGAAACTCCACTAAGAGCCAAATTTACGTTTTTCTAGGTATGGTAAATATAAGCTTGCTAATGTCCCAAAAATTGGAAAGAAGTATTAATCAGTCATTTTTATAATATTCTGTAACACATTCACTTAACTAGACAATACACATTGTTCGAGCGAAAAACTGTAAAATGCTAAATTCTAATTCATTCATATGTACATACACATATTTGAATAAAATTATTATTTTGTTTTTGCCTAAACCTTTTCTCTATTTGAAAAATTACATTCATATGTACATATATATATTTGAATACAATTATTCTTCTATTTTAACCTAAACCTATTCTTTATTTGAGAAATTTATTTCTATATGTTCACCCGCAGTTTTAAAAAACTAGGTATACATTCATAATTACGTGTGTTTGTATTAATAATTTTATTTCTAATTGTCCCAACAGCAAAATTTCAAAATTTTCCATTCTAATACATTCATATGTACATACGTTCATATGTTGAAACGAAAAATATTAAAATCTTCAATTCTAAAACTTTCATATATACATACATATATATA